AGAGAGAGAGAGAGAGAGAGAGAGAGAGAGAGAGGGAAAGAAAACTTGTTCACGAAGATTCAGGAAGATTCTTAACTCGTACTATGACTTCCTTCTACGTAAGCTATTATTCTGAACAATTTTCTCATGCTTTTACAGTACTAAGAATATACTACGAATGGAAGAATACAAGGGGAAAGTCCAAATGTTTTAGTTCGATGGGTAGGGGTTGTTAACATCGAAATCATTTAAGAACAATTACTTAAAACTACGAACATTTCTTTGTTCGACATTTAAATTCGTTGAAATAATATAAACTGTAATGGGTGTTGAATTATAATAAATGTTGAAATTAAATTAATCAATTATATGTATAGAATAACAATTGTTATTATTTATTCATTTGATAAAGGATAAACGAGTAAAAATTAAGTTAATGTATAGATAGATAAATGAAATAATTAATGATTATGATAATGTTCTATAGATGACATTGATCGATTGAATTTATCAAATATAATATTTGATAAATATTCTGTTTGTGTAATTAAAATAAAAAAAAGATACATCGGTCTCTTTATTGGTCAACCTAAATCTTCAAAAATTAGTTCGAAGATGTAAGGTGTTTTATTTGACCTAATTTGTACCTATTTTACCAAAAAAAAATACTTTCTTTTGAGTTTGATCAATTAAAATAAAATCCAGAATTTTATTGATCTTCCTTCTCTTCCCAAATCTTCGAAAATTAACTTCAAGGTTTTATTTAATGAAAAGAAAAATTTTATTTTAAGAAGAAAAAACAAAGTTACTAAAAAGTTTCCTAAGTTTATACGTTAGTTTGATTTTTTTTTTCCTTTTTTTTTTGAGAAATGATTCATAAGCAGATTTGATTTTGCTATTTTTACCGATATTATTTTACCGATAAGTTTTTCTTTCTTTACTTTCAATCCCCCATCGATAAGAAATGGGAAAAGATAGGGGAATATAGATTTGAAATAGATCCATATTCTCGTTTCTAGTTCTAGTTTCTCGTTCGCGGTTTACGTACAATTGGAAAAGTTATTTAAGATTGAGCCGAATCGTTTTTCCCTTATACGTCTCTCGATCAAATTTCTATCAAAGTAAAACTATATAAACTTTCATTTTCCATTCATCGTTTGTTACATTTCTTTCTTTCTTTCTTTTTTTTTTTTTTTTTTTTATTTCATAACATAGAAAGAAGAATAAAAAGATAAATAAGAAGACTGAGAAATTGATTCGTTCGATTTTATTCGAATCGAAGATAGAAAATTATTCTTGTGAAAACTTAGTATTAATTCTCTTTTTTTTTATAATTAAAAATAAAATCGTGTTATTTCAACTTTTTATTCATAATTTATTACAATAATCCTTAAATAATAATAATAATAAAAATATTATTTATATATATATATAAAATCTTAAATGATAGATAAGATACTTTTTATTTGAATATAAAATATTATAGTGTTACTTTTGATCACATAGATGAAAATTTAGTATTAATCATCTTTCTTGATAAAGTTATCATAATATTCTCTATCTTTTACAATTTTAAATAAAATCGTGTTATTTCAACTCTTTATTCGAATATAAAATAGTATGGTGTTATTTTTGTGATCACATAGATTATTTTAATATTTAATTATTTTGAATTATTATTTTAATTTTTATTTTTAATTATTTTTTCTTCTCTCACATAGATTTTTTTTTTTTTTTTTTTTTTTTTATTACAACCTATCTCTCTACTCTTCTATTTTCGAGTACGTGTTTGTGATTTTTTTCTCTCCTTTTTTTTTTTTTTACGTGTTCAATTAAAAGCAGTGTTCGAGGATTATTTGCTTCGACTACTCTGGATGACTATAGGGAACAACTTAACTACTGTCCGATCACTATCTCAATTACTATTCTTATTCTATCTTTTATCTCTCTCTCTCTCTCTCTATATATATATATATATATTAGGGTGGGTCAAAAAAATCAATTATTTTTTTTTTTCAAGTGCCACGGAAAAATGGGTTGCTAGACACCTTAAAACAATTCTCACCAAATATGAGCTCTTAATTTTAATAGNGTTCTATACATGCATCTACTATGTTTGTACTTTTCAGTAAATGAATATTAAAAAAAAAAAAAAAAAAACAAACAAATAAAAGAATTACGATATATTCTTTATTTAAATGTTCGTTAATTCTATAAATATTTTGTTTTAGTTCTCTGATCCACCGGCTTATGAAATGTTGAACAAGATTCAATTTCTACAAAAGAGAGTTATCAAAATGTCAGCTTTGATAATTGATAAAGAAAAAAGAATACAAGATACGGAAAAATTATATATGAATCTTCGTGAGATTTTGGTCAAACAACCAGGACCACAAATAACTATGGCCTTGAATAAAACTCAAAAAGCATTGAGAAAAAGAGGAAATAAAATGAAGGTACGATGATACATTTTTATTTCAAATATTTCATTCGAATTTTAATTATTTATTGAATTATTTTTTTCTTCCTTTTTTTTTTTTGTAATATTGGATTGATTCGGGTCAATATTTAAAAATAAATGTTAAAAATATTAAAAGTGATGAATAATTTTTTACGAGTAAATTCTAAAAAAAAAAAGAAAAAATCTTCAACCGATTTTATTTGAAATACCGCGGTTAATTTATTTGAAAATATTGACAAATTAAATATTAATATTTAAAAAAAGGAATTATTTTATTTTACAATCACAAACATAGTGTAAAAATATTTACAAATATCAATCGTCAATTTGATAATATTTATTTATTTATTTTTTTGATTTAACTCAGTGCCTGGTATCCGAATTGAACATGTATCAAGTTGAAATAAACGAATACAAATTCGATGTCGAACGGATGAGTAAAGAGATGTGCGAGTTGAAGATGAAATATTACGCACAGAAAAGGAAATTACAAAAGGAGAAGGAAACAAGATCGAAGTCCTTGACAGAATCAATACTACCAGCTGTACTACCGATAAAACAAAAGAAATTCTTTGGTGGTGGTTTCAATATGACAACTCCTACGCCACGAACAAATTTTATCTTGGATTCTGCATAGAAAAATCATTTTCAATGTTTACGTATGTATTATTAATAATTTATTAATATACCTTGTGTTATTTTTATTCAAGAAAGAATCATAGTACGAATTTATTATTATTATTATTATTATTATTTTTTTCTTCGATTACTGGATGCCTTTCTTTTTTTATAAATGTATAAACTTTTATTAACATAAAAAGAGATGTACATTTTTATATAGATTTTCTTTTTTAATATAAGATAATTGAATTGTTCATAAAATTGTTACTTTTTATTTATTTGATATATGTGTATATTATCTTAAAAAGGTAATTAATATTTTATTGATCTTAACATTTTTAGGTAACATTGAAAAATATTAATTTTTTAATTTAACATTATTTATTTATATTTATTATATTTAGCTGTTTTTATATATATTTTAAGCTTTAACTTTGTTAAAAAAATATATAATTAATTATAGTTTAAAGCTTAAATTATAATATTATATATTATATAGGAAACTGAAGATTAGTGAATTCTCTCCTTTAAAATAAAGACAAAAGCTTTCTCGTTGATGCGTGTGTTCATGAATTATCGAGATCGACGGTTCTAATACGTGTAGTCTAAAAGCAACAGAGAGAAATAGAAAGAGAAGAAGCCAAATACAGGAAGATTAATACCAACGGTAATTCCCTGATGTGGAAAACGGTTTCTCCTGTTCGTGGCTTTGATACACAACCGAAATACATCGAGAGAATGTACGAAACAAAACCATGAGTAGTAATTTGATACCACAACTATTTTTCTTCCAACGAAACGAAAATTATTCTCTACGATGAAACAATAATATTTTTAAAAAGAATAACAAAAAGAAAACATAATTCTTCAAAATATATATATATATAACACGTTTATTATATTAAAATATAAAACTATGATAAAAATTTAATATCAACAATTAATATTATTTGTAATATAAACGATGATAAAAATATTAATTTTTAAACAAAAAAATATTTCTAAACAAATTATTAAGAATTATTTTCAAAATGAATTTAAATCAAAATAATAATATGCAGATGAATGAATTATTGATAGAACTTTATCACGCGAATAGAATCAAATTAAAACATTAAGCATAAGCTTCGAGATATTAAGCTTGTCTTTTAATTAAAGATTAAAACGGAAATAGCTTGTATTTCTCATATTCACCTTGACTATTAATCAACGTTATTCTTAAACGTGCCGATCATGGACTCATGCCGGAAGGCGAAACAATTATCGTGATCGGGAAGTAGTTTATTGCTCGTTTAGCCCTTAATTGGTTCATGCATATGCATACGTGATGGTCTTCTCTTGTTGGTTGCATCGTCTAATTCTTCTTTCTATATAGATAAGATTAGTAATTGTTGTTCTATTAAAATAATATATTAGGTGGACTGGAAAGTAATGTTACTTTTTAACCTCAAAATTTAAACAAAACAGTTTTTATTATTAATCAATAATTAAATTCATTAAGTAAATTAATTAATCACGTTATCAATAACCTTTTTCTATTTGATATGCTATTAGATTTTTATTATCGTAACGATAAAAATTATCAATCGGTTTTTTGATTTAAAAATATTCAAAATAATTTGACATGCGTAGTAACGGCCATTACTTTTTGGTTTCCCTAATACAACGAGACAAATCTTATATTTAAAGTATATATTTTTATTTCAATTGTTTAATATATTATATATTATATTATTATATAATTTCAATATATTATATTATTAATTTAAATTAATTTGAATTCTCATTTAATTTTTATACTATGAATTTATCAATAATTTGACATGCGTAGTAACGGCCATTACTTTTTGGTCTCCCTAATACAACGAGACAAATCTTATATTTAAAGTATAGATTTTTATTTCAATTGTTTAATATATTATATATTATATTATTATATAATTTCAATATATTAAATTATTAATTTAAAATAATTTTAATTTCATTAAATTTTTATATTATGAATTATTTTTTAATATTATGAATTATATGACGAATGTTTTTTTTTGTTTTAATTTTTCTTTTCTGTGCTGATCCTAGCTTTAGTACGATATTTAAATTGATAAAAAAGGATGGGGATAGTGTTTTAGTACTTTATGGGACTTTAAAACGATGATAGAAGAGTTATTCGCTTTTTAAAACGATTTATGTGATCTCTCTCTTTCTCTCTCTCTCTCTCTCTCTCTCTCTCTCCCGTTTTTTTTACTCCCCACCATTTCTTCGTATTACGAAAACCATTCGATGACCGTTTATTGACATAAAATTCATTGAAAATATTTATTCGATAAATCCCCTCTATCCGAGGTGTGTTCTTTTTTCTCTCATTCGTTTGGTTGGTTCATTTGTTTATTTTTTTATTTTTTTGTTTTTGTATTTTCATTCCAACTAAAATTTTGTTCACAAATCGTTTTGATTGCATCGATTGCAACACGAAACCCAGACGAAATTTGAAAAAATAATATAATAGTTTATATTTTTGTTCTTGGTTGTTTTTGTATTAATCGATATTACGAATATTCTCGTGAATTAACAATTGTTTAAATTAATATCATTATTTATATTCTTTTGTTCGAAATTTTTCAAATGTATTTTTCAAATGCATACGATTAAACTTATTTCACTATTTTTTTTTTTTTTTATTCTCTTTCTACTTTTCATTTCATCGTAATAGAATCTAGAGAGACATTTTGACTACGTTCGAGGATATAATTCACACATACGAGTATACGTATATATATATATGCACACATGAAAGGAAAAAAATTGAAAAGAGAGTTTGAGAGAGTATGTGAAAGAGAAAGAGATCATTTTAAAAGCAAGTCTCTTTCATATCTCGTTGCTAAACTGGTACACTCGTAGTTCGTGCAAATGTTGATTCAGCAAACTAGGTGGTAGAGTAACTGCACCTGTTGATAAAACTGTTGACGACAATGAATTTGACTGCAACATTTAATCTTTGTTTTATATACAATCCTCTACAATTATAAGAATAAAGAAAAAAAATTCAAAGAAATATAATAGACAAAGAAACATAGACAATTAGATAATAACAGAAAAGGATAGGACAATGATTTCCAAAATTGGGATACGTGTTAATTGTCTAAAATATTAATTTAAACAAAATATTGCTTATATGAGAATACAAATTCTATAAATGTATAAATAATTAATTTTTTCAGATTGTTTCTAATAGAAGAATATTAATTCAGTTATATATTTATATATTATATATTTATATATATTATATATATTATATTATTATAATTATATTATATTTTTTACTTATTATTTAATATTATTATTATATATATATAATATATTAATTAAAATATATATATATATAATAATTAATAAATAATTTAAATATAATATAATTATATTATATATTATATATTTTTATTTTATTAGTTAATATATTTTAATTAATATATATAATATATAATATATATAAAATATTTATATTATATTAAGAATTAAAAGAATTTATTATAACAAAAAATATATAGAAAAATATCGATTGAACAAACATCCAAAATCTAAATTAATTTCACACAAAACACAGTGATACTCGAATTAAAATTTCATTCAAAAGATTCTTTACATATATAAATGAAATTTTGTTCATTTAAATATTAGGGTTCATTAGTTTGATTAAAATTAATTGTCCAATAAATAACCAAAATGAAAATTTGCTTGGGAACTTTTGTTAGGATGGGGTTGAAGTGTTGTTACTCATTGGTCGAACGTCATTGGTCGAAACAATGGTTAAACGTATAAAGCTATGTTAACGGCGTTTACCTATTATAGGTCTCATTGTTAGATCATCTGGCGAATTTGCTTTCATTGTTCTACGTTAAATCAAAGCAAAAAGATAAACCAAAGACTTGCCTTGCCATTACTGCTGCTGCTGTTGCTGTTGTTGTTGCTGCTGCTGCTACTACTACTGTGCTGTTATTTGTTTACACTTTGAGTGTATATATATATATATGAAATTTTATTGAACAAAGATGGGCACCGTGCCATCGAATATGTACTCTTCATCCCTTAAATCAAACCCTTATATACATATATATATATATACACATATATATATATTTATATATGTATCATAGTATCTTGGTTTCATTCTATTTCACTATGATATATGTTTCATACATATCTGTTACACATATTTTCCTAAGGTATCCGGAAAGAAGAACTTTTGCTGTCCTATAAACTCATTTTTAGTGATTTATATATCTAATACTGACATGAGGAACGATTAGAACAATAGATTGTTCTTCTTTTTACACTTCTTTACTTTAAAAAATCTTTTGTTTGTATAAATGTTTATTTTATACGTGCTAGTTTTATTAGACATTTTTTTTTTGTTACTAGAGGAATATTGTCAGTAAGTTTCTTTTTTTTTATTTAATTCTTTTTTTTTTTTTTCATGCATACGTTTATCAGTAAAGTTGAAGAGAGAAAATTAGAATTAGGATATAATGGTGAATATTGTATTGATTTAAATATTAAATATATTTTTGTTGATTTAATATTATAATAGTATATTAAAATATACTCTCTGTTATTTTCTGTTTGTATCTCTCTCTCTCTCTCTCTCTCAGTCTAATTATAATTTCCTCTTATGCTTAATAAATGTATCTCGAAAATTAATGAATACAATTATGTATTTCTCGTATTTATGAATTATTCACGAAAAATAATCCCAGCTTTGATAAAGCGAAGAATAATTCTTACTCTTTACTATACGGCAATCACAGTTATGTATTATTTGAAAAAAAAAAAAAGAAAATGGAAGAAAAATCGATTAATTCGAATAGACGTGTTAGAAAATTGCAGGATTTAATACAAAAAAAAAAAAAAAAGAAAAAAATCCATTTTACGGTTGACCGCGAATAATCAGAAACGAATTCGATTCCGATTTTTTAATTTACTAATCCTATCTCTCTCTCTCTCTCGTTGTCTCTTTCTCTT